ATATGAAGGAGCGTTTCCAAAAATGAAAAGAGGTGGGTGGGGTGCCACTGAGTTTAATTTATTACATGAGTAATATCTTAGCAAATAGAAAAGATAAGACCTTCTTGTTTTATATTCTAGCTTGTCAATATCTGTAATTTGAGTTTCTGATTTGGATGAAACTGTAGACTTAGTATCTAATTTGAACCAGTGCTGCATTCAACATACCACGTGACACACAGAAATCGATGTTTTTCTGTGTTTTTTAATATTTACTTTGAAATTAAAAAATTGTGTAATATATATAGTTCTAAAATTTGAATTATAATCTACAATTTGATACCAAACTTATTGACACAAGTTCATGAAATAGTAGTTCAATAAAATTTTGAATGCGAGTCAACAAACAACATGACATGGCTTTTCACTTGTGACCAATCTCGAAAGGGTTAACTATATTTTATTGAGATTAGTTACATTTCTTGTTTGTTTTCAAAGAACATATGCATCAAAGTTCATTTATGTTTTCACATGAGTTTAACTCAAAATGCAATCACTCGAACTGGTAATAAAAAAATCTTATAGAACAATAAGCTTTTTCAGTGGATTAGAAGGGTGGATCATATTAACCCAGATATGATGTCTTACGCTTCAAAATTACAAAAATGTGATTCACGTGTAGCTTGATTATGAAACATGTGATACTTATGTGTTGATAAAGCTCTCTCAAAATATGATGATAAAACTATTTAAACAATATCTGTTACTTCTGAGTAAGTTATTATTTTAAGTATTATATCGTTATATGCAGGTATTGTTAGATCTTGTTCAAGGAGAGTTCATGCAGATGGGTTCCAAAGAAAATGAAAGTGAACGATTCTCTCACTATTTACAAAAGACATTCAAGAAAACAGCTAGTTTAATGGCTTACACATGTAAAGCTGTAAGTAAATTTGAAGTTAAGATTTTACTATTTTTCTTTCGTTATGCCTAAAAATTGAATATTGAAACATACGTTAACAAGAACTCGCAGTTCCTTTGCTTTACTATTTAAAGTGTTAATGCTGTATATTCTTTCTGAAACTTCTATATAAATTTTATTAAATATAATCATGATAAATTCTTATCAGTTTTAAACTTTCCGTTGAGCAGTAAAATTAATTCCTTTTCAACTATAATCAAGAACCAGTTAGAGAAACACAAATAGCTTCTAAATCTTCATGATAAAGCTATTATTACAACTGAATATTTCTTCATATACCTAGATAAATATTTGTTTATGTATCTCATTTACTAAAAACCTTTATGGATTTAGATCACACGAGGTATCCAAATATGAGTCTCAGTTGTTCAAAAATTTTCTGGAAGCTTTGAATACACATTATTTATTTTAAAAGAGTAGGGTTTTATTGGAATTACTTTGTCAATTTATCTTCCATAAAGTCCACTGTAGGGACTATTAGTTATAGTATAGATATAGGTAAAAGAATCTCAGCACAGATGATGCCTTGATATGAAATATTTGGTTCACACATGCATATACGTTTGAGAACTTGAATAAATAAGTAAATGTTTGATAGGTTACAGTATGTTTCTACATTACTGTTTTTCATTGTTATTTTTAGTATTAATAGCTTCATTAATAAATAAAGTATAAAATTATGATCTGAATATAAAGTGGTTTATAATTTTAATGTATACACTGTATTTAGTATAATAATATACCTTAGGTTTACTTTGTCTTGACTTATGAATTAAAAAGTTAATATTTGTGTAATAGTAATAACTTGTATGTTTAAAAGCTTTGGTTTCATATCACCCTGTACTAATCTTAGAATTATTGTTTTTTTATATTGAGTTTTCATTATATTACTAGGTTGCTTACTTAGCAGGGGCAGATGAAAAACTCCAAGAAGCAGCTTTTCAATATGGCCGAAACGTGGGTATTGCTTTTCAGGTAAAGTCTCGATGGGTTTCGTTACTTTATGATTGAAATCAGACATGCATATTATACCACAGGTTTATATGAAAACGTTTCACATGTTGTTTCTCATAATAGTCACTAATGGAAGGAAGATTTCCAGTTTCATGCTCTATTGAAGCCAATTGTTAACTGTATTCTTTGTCATCAGTCACATGATAACCATTTTACTTATTATACTGGGATGTTTTGTTTTTCTAAGTTTTTCGTTATATTCTTATAATATAGACATTTCTTTTCTTTGTCCAGAAAAAACAACTTATGTTTTGTTCTTTTGTTTTACTTAATATGTGATAACAAGAGGCTACATGGGACCTATTCTTATGCTTATTCAGGCTTAGTTTAAAAGAAGAAATAAATATTAAGAGTAAAAAAAACAAACTGATATTTTGTTTTTGCCACAATGAAAGGTAAAATCTTTATTAGTTACAGCCGACTAGTTATCATCATCATCATTAGGGCTAGTGTCTATTATCTGATGGTAACTATGTTACAGAATCTAGTCGGCGGTAACTCATAATAAAGATTTTAACTTTCATTGTGTTAGAGAACGTAGAATTTTGTGTTTTTAACTGTTAATATAGTAGAACAATGTGCCTGAAAATAAATTATAGAAAAAAAATATATTTTAATGTTCACACCTTTTTTTTTTCTCTTTGTTCATCATTCTGATTACTGAGTGTCACTGGCAAAGTAGCTGAAGTTTGAGTCAAGCATGTGTTGTTTTTTCCTATAGATATGTATACTTGTATAAAGTTTGCTTCATGAACCTTTATATTGCTATTTTTCTTTAAATAAACTTATGAATAGAATTGTGATATGGATTATTTCAAAATCAGCAAAATGGTAGAAAAGGTATTAAAAATAACATTTCTGTGGTATTTCTATTTAAGTTCTGTTTGACTTAAAGTTCTAAAAAAACACGATGAATCTTCTTATTGGTAAGTGTTCTTTGTTCCAGTTAATTGATGACTTGCTAGATTTTGTATCCAGTCAAGCAGAAATGGGAAAACCAGCTACAGCAGACCTGCGTTTAGGCTTAGCTACAGCACCTGTTCTGTTTGCATGTGAAAAGGTTAGTTTCATTAGTTTAATACAGGTTTTCTTTTAGTTAATTCAGAATTATAAGATGTATAGATACGTTTATAAAAAAATTTCTATTTAGCAGATCTACTCTGAAATAAAACATTTTTAAACCACACTGTCGAAGTTAAGATAAGTATTGTGATTTTCAGGCACAATATGAAGCAAATATAAACTTTATTTTTGCTTTTCTACTGTTTATTGCATAATGTTTTTTATTAGGTGAAGAATATTCATAATTATTGCAACATAATTGATTATGATAAAATGCTCCACAGAATTAATATTTACTTGTATAAAACTTAACTTTAAATGACACCTACATGTTTTTTATTACATTATAACATACCAATTGAGCTCTAGTGATAATTTTCTTGATGTTTGTATTGTATTAAGCTTCTGGTACAGATTCTTGCAGGTGAAGCCGGTTCCTTAATAGGTTTAATAATTCTAAATAAAGATCTGTTTACTGCTCTGATTTCTTTTTTTTTTTTTGTTATTCTCATAAAATTATCATATTATTCTTCATATTTCAATTATAAGGACAACATTTCCCAGTTTCCAATCTCCATAAACTGTTATAACCATACCTAGCAGTATGAATATCATTACGCAATTATCAATTAGCTTAACCTCTCAAGTTTAGTGTGTAATATTCTAAATCATTCTGGGAATAAAACAAACTTTGTAAAATCACACACACACACACACAGAAAACATCTCTATAGTAGCTTTTAACCAGTAGTTTTTGTTTTTGATATAGGTAGAAATTTTAATTCATTACATAAACTTGTATAAATTATAGATAGTTTGAAATATTATTAGAGAAAAAAAAATGTTTGTAATATACTTTTTTTCTCGAGTAATATACTTGAAACTAATAAATAATATAAATCAACCCCACAGACTTTCTGTAGTGTTTATAAGCTCTTTTTAATGATAAAGATCTTACTTAGCTTTTCTGGCCAAGATATATATTACCATGTGATATTGTAAATGAAAGCAGTTTAATAAAAATGCACATTAATGTGATATTAATATAGAGTTTTTGACACTTAAGATAATTTCCATAATTGTGTTGTTTTATAGTTTCCAGAACTAAACTTCCTAATTATGAGAAGATTTTCTGAACCTAATGATGTGGAGAGAGCGTATGAAGCTGTTATGAAGGTATTTTGTTACATTCATTTCTTGGGAATGGCATTTTTAAATTTCAGTGGTTATGTTTATTTTTTATGTTACATATACTCTAGCCATGTCTGATTATTGTATGTTTTTGTTAGTAACTAAGAAAAGAAATGTTTTACAGAACAACTATACAAAAACATATCGGTAGTAAACATGAGTTGACCAAAATGCAATGAAAGATAAAATGCATAATTGATGTTTCATCCAACTAACACTGTCCAGTCTGATGGTGGTTATTTTTTTCATATGTTTTTCTTATATTATTATTATTATTCCAGTCTGACAAAAATTGTTTTTATTTTCATAAATTTATATTATTATTGCCATTTCGTTTTGGTGAAATGCAAAATAATATTTTAATGCATTTATTCTGTGTTTAAGTTCAAATGTTTGATATTACACTGTTAATTTGTCATTCCTGTAGTAGCCAGAAAGTAACCTTTTGGTTGGGAAACATTTTTGTAAAGCTTAACTCTTCTTGATTTCGGACCACATCTGGTCATTTACCTTAACAAATTGTACACCTTAGTCTCTACATTTGATTTTATGGGAATTTCTAATAATATTTTGAACAGCTAAGTATCATTATTTTTAATTTCTTTAAACAAATTTTGTGTATTGTTGAGATATTTATTCTATGATTTACAAAATAATAGATAAAACAGTTACTCTGGATTACTACCTCTTAATTTTTATTGAAGAAAAACGTTCAACTAAAATGATGGATTTAAGTTTTTCTGGACTTGTACACAAAAATGAATGAATAGTATAATCAGTCATTAAGCATGAGTTTTATGCTCAACAGTCACATTGTTAATTTACATGTTAAATTAGTAATGATCAATTATAGTTTTTGTTTATCATAATGGAATATACTGAGGTACTTTTGTCAAACAAGCTAACAATCTTCTGTTGTTGACATATAGAGTGAGGGGTTGGAACACACAAGGATGCTGGCACAAAAGCATTGCACAGAAGCTGTACGTCATATAGCATTATGGTCAGACTGTCTAGAGAAAAAGGCTTTAGTGACACTCGCCAATAAAGTGCTGAACCGAAAAAAATGATAGCCCTTAGCAACACTAAATAGAATTGAGACAGGAAAGTTTACGTCTTTTATGACTGCAAAGAAAGAAGACCAGTTCTAAATGTATCAGGAATGTAGTTTTTCTGTACCGATTGGTGCTTTAGTTTGGTAAATAAGTTAAACTGTAGGTAAATTAGTATAATTCGTTTTTATATGGTAGTTTTTGATTTTGTGATTTTTCTGAAGCAAGAACAGTAGTGACATTTATAATATGCTTTTAAAAATGTTAAGTGTGACAGAAAAAAAATATCGTAATAGTTAACCTCTATGTTTAAAAATAATATTAATTTGATGCCTTATATAAGAAAAGATTAATAGTTTAGTTACAAAAAAAGAAGAGTGTATAGAAAAATAATTTTCAGTATTATTGCACCTTCCTCAATACAAAGTTGTAAAAACACTGATTTGACCTTGTAAAATGTTCACCACACAGACTGTGATAAGCTTTTTTTTTGTTAGTTTAAATTCAACCCAGTTCTAATATTAACTTATCAGGGCATTTCTTTTACAGATACTTTGTACAAAATGTAACAAAGACAGTAATTATAATCATGTTAACTCTGACAGTTTTAGTGACGAACATCTTTAGTTACAAATGGTACTGGTGAATTCAGTTGTTCTTAGACTAACAACTTGTTTGATAAGATAATTTAGTAAGTAAATGCACCTAAAGTGATATAAATTGTCATTATTGAAGCTATGTTTTAATAGCAGATATATTTCTTTTATTTGTGGAGTTTATATAACATCAGTTATTAATTTTTGACTTCTGAAATTTAAAATAACTTTGAGGAAAGAACAAGTTAAGTTTTTGTGTATGATAAAATCAATGAAGTTATCTTCACAGATTGTAAGTTTGGAATCAAGAAATATTTATAGATTTTTAGAAACTCGTAAAAGCAAATGATGTAAAGGACAAAGTGTTTTCTTTACCTGGGAGATCGACCACATAAGTCCTAGTAGTTGGCATGCCTGACTGTACATGATTTGCATCCCAATTTTTGCATAAATGTACCCTGTACTTTGGGGTCATTTGTACATTAAAAGAGTAATGGTCAAATCTTCCTATTTAATTAGAGTAACATGAGTTCGTGGTAGATGCTGTTGACTAGCTGCCTTCCTTCTTGTCTCAGTTCAAAATTAAGGAGGGCTAGCCCAAATGGACCTTGTGTAACTTTGCACAACTTTCCAAAACAAATACACATTTTACCAGGGGATATTTCCTTTCATGTAAAATTTTCTTGCAGCTAACAAATAAAATCCAAATTAAGATTCTTCTAGACAGGGAAAATAGCATAGCATCTGGCAATCAAAGATCACTAATAACGTAGACAGTTTTGCATCTAGGTATTAAACACAGTGTGTAGTAAGATAAAAATAAAGAAAGATCAGCAGTTAATTGTTGTTGGGAAAGATTGAAGAGATTGTGCAAATATTAACTTTTACAAGAAAGTAAAAATCATCTGGTGATAAAAAAGAAAAAAGAAAAAAAGCTATTTTGATCACTGACTGAATTAATGATGACTTTGGTTTACTAGAAATAAATAAGTAAAAGATCATAGGCCTTGGTGATATGTCATCTTCTCCTTACTCCTAGCTATTTTGATCACTGACTGAATTAATGATGACTTTGGTTTACTAGAAATAAGTAAAATATCATAGGCCTTGGTGATATGTCATCTTCTTCTTACTCCTAGCTATTTTGATCACTGACTGAATTAATGATGACTTTGGTTTACTAGAAATAAATAAGTAAAAGATCATAGGCCTTGGTGATATGTCATCTTCTCCTTACTCCTAGCTATTTTGATCACTGACTGAATTAATGATGACTTTGGTTTACTAGAAATAAATAAAAGATCGTAGGCCTTGATGATATGTCATCTTCTCCTTACTCCTAGCTATTTTGATCACTGACTGAATTAATGATGACTTTGGTTTACTAGAAATAAATAAGTAAAATATCGTAGGCCTTGGTGATATGTCATCTTCTCCTTACTCAAACCGAATGCATTTTGAAAATATTTTTTTAAAGCATAACATTCTGACGTGGGTTCAAGGTTTAATTGTTCATGTAAAGCTCAGTTTTCTTGTGTAAAATGAGCATGTACTTTTCTGTTGTAATATAAATACCACAGTCCTCATTTTTTCCCCTATCTTAAAGAAATTATTAGAAACATCTTACTTTTGAGTAATGTAATTGCATAAAGTCTGTGCATTAGAGACTAGTTTGTCAGTTTTTCCTTTGTGTACAGCACTGAAAAGAAAGTTAACGTAATTTTTATTCCTTAGTCATTTTGAGAATAAGTCTGACAACTTCCTTCTGTAGAATGCAGACTCCAGTTAGTTTTTTTAGCTAAGTAGCTTTTACCAAAAACTGTTAAGTCCTGATTGGGTTGTTAAATGTCTTTATATGAATTTTTTTATATAACTTTAAATTTAAAAAATTGATGATTAAATCCTTACAAAGTTTAATGTTTATTTTTTAATTTTTACTTTCAGAGGATCATTTTTTAGAATGATTATTTAATTAAATTTGTCTCAACTTTAGGTTGATCATACTGCTTCTGAGCAACTATTGAAAATACTTGCAGAAGAAAATAAAAAAACAAACACACACACAAGTATAACTTAGTTGGTTTATCAAAAACAACTGAATATATATCAGTGGAAGTGACATGTGAAGTCCGCATATGTCTCAAAGTTCCTTAATGTTTTATTGAAACAGTGTAAGAAAAGTAAGAAAGGAGCATAAATTATGTCAGTCATTGATAATTGTCTTATTATTATTTGTTTACTCCTCTCCAAAGTTTCTTTACAAAAACCATGGTTATCAGGCATTATATTTTTGATTAAATTTAATCTTTTGTGACAAAGTCTTACAGCATACAAAGAGGAAACACAAACGTTAGGATACAATTTCTCTACACAGGTTCTGAGAAACGGAAATTATTCACAAATAACAAATAGTAAAATTGAATATATTTTACTTAAACTTTTAAACTTGCTTTCAGTGGATCATGAATCTGGAAGGAAATAAAATTAAATAAGCATTTTGAAGGGTATTCCTGGTGTATGTTATTTGTATCAGTTATTATTATTTTTTTTTATAAACTCATTATTTACCTACAGAATATTATACTGGCAAAGAATCTGTTAACACTTCAATGCACATACAGTTTTTAATTTTAGTGATCTAATTAAATTATTACGTAAACAAAATAATTTCAACTGGTTTAATGAAGAGTATCCTGTTAATGTTTTGTGAATTCCTGCCATTTTTATTAGTTACTTGTTAGTGTAATAAGTATACCTACTGAATAACTTAATATCTATTGGTTAGTAATATGTTAAGTTTCATCAGTTTTCATTTTCTGTATTAGTAGTATGCTAATATGGTAAATTTTTCGAACTGAACATTCTACTTCTTTTATTGGTTAACTATTTCACGTTTTATTTGGTAAATTTTTCGAACTGAACATTCTACTTCTTTTATTGGTTAACTATTTCACGTTTTATTTGGTAAATTTTTCGAACTGAACATTCTACTTCTTTTATTGGTTAACTATTTCATGTTTTATTTTTTTTTGTAATAATCATATTCTTCATAGCTGTTGCTGCTATGCATCTTACATTGTTTTATTTTCTCCCTTTCTCTTGGTTAGCAACCTGTGTGTATCAGTGGTACCTAGTAGTCTTGTATAGCATCAAGTCACTCGGACAGCTGTAACTTGTGCACTAGTAGGTTATTTGCAGATTAACATGAAAGTGCTTTCTACTCATTTATTATAAAACAAAAAACAAATAAAACATTTGTGGTTGAATCTTTCCTACATCTGACTCATTTTGGTAATAACGAAGAGGGCCTGGCCTGGCCAGGTGGTTAGGGCAATCGACTTGCAATCTGAGGGTCGTGGGTTCGAATCCCCGTCCCACAAAACATGCTCGCCCTTTCAGCCGTGGGGCATTATAATGTGACAGTCAATCCCACTATTCGTTGGTAAAAGAGTAGCCCAAGAGTTGGCGGTGGGTTGTGATGACTAGCTGCCTTCCCTCTAGTCTTACACTGTTAAATTAGGGATGGCTAGCGCAGATAGCCCTCGTGTAGCTTTGCGCAAAATTGAAAACAAACCAATAACGAAGACACAGAATAAGGTTGATAATATTAGATTTACTTACATGTTTCATGCAGTACCAGTAGATAATAATGTATTGGTGCTTTTTTTTTTCTCTTCAGTTGATCATGTAAAGCTTAGTGCTCAATTTGTGTGGTGTATTTTTTTTTTATCTTGTGTTATCCTGAACTTTCATAGAGGAATTGTTGAGAAGTTCAAATTTAATTTGTACAAACAGTGAATTAGGTAATCACTACATAGAAATATTGACAGAGTATATTTATATAAATAGAAATCATTATTTCCAATTCTCTTGCCAAGGAAAATTGCTTACTTCTGTTATTCTATTGTAAGATCAATAAAAAAAATTTTATAAAAAAAATTGTATGTCTCAGTGTTTAAATATACATGCTTACAAAGAGCTTTTAATCTGGTAACTCTTTACCTGTACTTATGTGCTGGCATGGAAAGGAGAAAAAGAGTAGTGAAGCTTATATTATAAAGTTACCTGGTATGTGAACCTATTTGGGACTAAATGGTTAGTACATTAAAGTGAAAGGTATTAGTAAGTTTCTGTGACAAAAATATGACAGATTTATTATATTAACCACAACATAGGAGTGTATGTTTATTAACAGTTCATTAAAACAATATGAAACTTAATAGATGAGATTATATTTTCTAAGATGTTAGAAGTTCTTAGCAGTAGACTATTTATTGTGATTATATGAATATCACCTTTTGATATTAATGATTTAATAAGATGTACTTTGACATGTCTTCTTTCTTTGAAGTTTGCAAATAATATATTGAAATATCAATTAGCTTTTTAATCAAATTAAGCTATTGATTACTATTTAATACTAATTCAGGAAAAACGTATGGCCAGGCATCGCATAATGGTTAGTTTGCTGGGTTATGTATAGGAAGATTCAGGGTTTAGGCTAAGATACTTCACATCTTCAGCTAACCAACTAAGATGTCATAGTATTGTATACCAAATTTTGTAATGCTATATTCGCAGGATACAAGCACTACCTATGTCACTGTCATGATATAAAAGACTGTTTGGTTTAAATATTAGTGATTAATTTATATTTGTGAATGAATATTTTATTATTTTTAAGATTTGTTATAATAAGAGTTAAAAGCAGACGATTGTAGAAGGTTTTGTTAATAACTAATTGGTGTCGAGAGTATAGAAAGTGGCCATTCGACTATGTAATAAGAGCTATAAATAGGATGAGACGAGCGGAAAGCAGCAGACAGATAATAGCAAAAGAGAATGTAGCTGTGTGAAGTTAGGTACGGTAGATGTGATAGGCCTAACGATTAATATGTTAGAGTAAAACTAACAGTATTTAAAAAAAAGATAAAAAGGATAATTTTATTCCGTCAAAGCGTGGTTCTAAAGTAATTGAATCAGCCTGGGTACACTTTGACAAGAGGAAAAGATCTTCAGAAGAAAGAAGACCAAACGAATTACGGTAACTTGCAAGTGAATCACACACAAAATACTACTACTAGTACGATAGTAATATAGAAAAGATAATTCAACTTGTAAACTGAAATTCTAAAGTAATTGAATAAGCGTAAGTCAGTAAATGGACTTTTGACAAGAAGAGGAGAACTATACATATACTGATAGTGATATAACGTTTACGATATGCTTATATTCTCTATACTGTAAATGCTTTATTGTACATAGTTTAACTTGTTCCGAATATATATATATTATTTGTAATACAAGTAAAGTAGTATGCTGTTTATTCATCGTTGAA